TCTGTGGTCCCCGGCCTCTCCTGCTCCAGCTGCCTCCTGGCTGGGCCACATTTATCTCATGCCTGCACAGCCCTTGGCTTCCCTGCCACCTTATATGCAGCACCTTGCCCAGGGGACTGCACAGTCACCACCGGGCCTGTTCCCCTTGAAAACTGGATGGGGGATCCTCCACCACCACCCCTGGCTGTAAAGGGTTTGTGCCCACCCCTCCATCCTCCTGAGGTGCTTGGGCCAAGGTGGGCAACTGTGCCCTTAAGTTATGTCCTACCCAAGAGTCAGTGATGATGTGAGAGACACTAGTGACCAACACAATAAGTACCCTTGAACCCCTATATGCTGAGTGACATCTTGGGGAGGGGGGAACTGAGGAGGAGGAGGCCGGGTACCTGTTCAAGGTAAGCTCAGCACCCAGGAGGCCAAAGGCAAGGCCCCTACCCCTGGCCTTTGAGGCTCCCAGTTGGCAGGGATCAGGGAGAACAGGGGCTTCCCTGCTGGCTCAGCTGGTAAAGAATCCACCTGCAAAGCTGGAGACCTGGGTTTGATCCCTGGGTTGGGGCAATCCCCTGGAGGAGGGGATGGCAACCCACTCCAGTAGTCTGGCCTGGAGAGTCCCATGGACAGAGGAGCCTGGTGGGTTACAGTCCATGGGGTCGCAGAGTTGGACACGACTGAGTGACTAAGCACAGCGCTGGGAGAGCAGTAGGGAGGCAGACTCCCACCCAGAAACACAGCCAGGAAATTCCTGGAGAGCAGGTGGGATTCTCCCTGAGGACAAAATCCACATTCCACGTGGCGGCCTGCGAGGCTCTGTGTAACCCGACTCCCTGCCCACCCTTTGACCTTTCTTTCTGCTTTTCTCCTCCTCCGTCACTCCACTTCAGCTGCACTGCCTTCCTTGCTAATCCTGAAAACACCAAGCACATTTCTTCCCCAGGACCTTTGCACAGGCTGTTCCCACTGCCTGGAAGGCTCAACCCCTAGATACCATGCTCACTTCCTTTGGTTCTCAGTTCAAAAGCCATCTTATTGGAAACCCCCTTCCTACCCCCATCACTGTCACTCTCTGTCCCTTTTCCCTGCGGCACAAGGGTGGGACTGCCCACTGTTGGAGGTAATAAAGGTGCCAGCCAGGAGGTCAGTGTCCTGACTTTGACCTCTCTGATGATAGCTGAGAAGTGGATGTGATTCTAAAAGCCATACATGGAATAAGGAGCAGGCCAGTGCTTGAGTATTTCATTAGTAATATTTAACAAATGCAGAGTAAGTTTTGTGCCCTGCTGCTAAGTACTTTATATATAACACACATTTAATTCTCATCACATCCCTGAGGCTGAGGAGTGGGATGGGGAGTGGAAAATTCATTATCCTCATTTACATGGAAAATGGAAGCACAGCAAGGCAAAGTAACTCTCCCAAGTTCACACAGCTGGGTAGGGGGCAGAGTTGGATCTGAATCAGAGACATGTGGCTGCTGAGCCCATGACCTTGGCCCTGAGGCTGTGCTCTTATCTCTAAAGTAAGATCCATAGAATTTTGAGGAGCTTAGAGAGCCTGCTGGGACTGGCCTGGCACTCTGGAGTTTTGGGGAACCTAGGGGAGCTGAGGGCTAATTAATGATTGACCATCACGTCTCTCTGCAGCACAATTTTAGCTTTCAAAGCATTTACATTCCTCACCTCACTCAGTCCATTAAACTACTCTTCCTATTCATGGGACAGAACTTGTTCCTCATCACCTGGGAGGCCAATGGCAGAGCTGCAGAAGGGGTTTGGCAGGGTAGGGGACTATAGTACGGGAAACTCCAAATCCTTTAGGGAAGTGAGTAGGTGTTGGCCCCCTTTCACGTGTGCGTGCTAAGTCACTTCAATCATGTCTGAGTCTCTGTGACTCTAGGGACCCGAACCCACCAGGCTCCATTGTCCTTGCGATTCTCCAGGCAAGAATACTGGAGTGGGTTGCCATGCCTTCCTCCAGGGGATCTTCCCAACCCAGGAATTGAACCCAGGTCTCAATATCTACCTGTATTGGCAGGTGGGTTCTTTACCACTAGCACCATCTGGGAAGCACATTGGCCCCCTTACCGCATGCCAAACCCTGATGAAGTGTTAAGATAACACTGAGGTGCAAATGATCATCATCCCCATCTCAGAGATGAGCAAACTGAGGCTCAGGGGCCTGGGGAGGGAGGGCTTTAGTGTCCCTCGTCTTTCGGTGAACTTCAGGCTGTATGCTTAAGATGGGGAGGAGAGTCTGCCATGGAGGGTAGTGTCCAGGGCTGTGGAAGAAGAGCAGCAAAGAGAGGATGACAGAGGGTGGTACAACTGAGCCCTTTCTCTCTGCTGGCCCTTGCTCCTTCGTCCAGCATCTCCTGCTACTCCCAGGAGTCTTGCTTGAGAACCTTGTCTTCACACCTAAGTACTTTCCCCCTCTGACATGAGAACCCCATTGGTGAGCTCTGTGCTGGTACTGCCTGGGGAGTGGGGTGTGATAAGATGAGGAAGCCAGTGTCTGCCACTGTCTTGACCTTGGGCCCACCCACACCCCCGAGGGAAAATGCCACACCAAGCTACCAAGGAGAGGCTGACAGATCCAGCTTTACAGTCCCCTTGGAGGACCAAGAGCCAAGATCATGGGTTCCAGGGAGCAGGGGGACTGCAACACTTTACTCCAAACCAGAGCTTGGCACTCCCCGCCCCAACCCAGTAACCCCATTCCTAACAAATCCCATCCTACAGGAAGTCGGTTATGGCATCTCTTCCTCTGTCTGGGCCTCTCAGAGCCTCGCCTGCCTTCCACTTCCTCTGCCCATCACCCTATGTCCAGACCCTGCCTGGGGGATGGGGGAGCTCTGAGGCTTGGCCCCTCTCCCAGCTGGGTGCCATTGGCAGCGGGCAGGCAGAGGCATACGGGGTAGACTCTGGTTGCCATAGCAACCTGCCAAAGTCTTGGGTGGAGGCACATGGCCTACGGGGTGTATGGGGGGCGGGGACTCATCTCTCCCCATCCTAGCTCAGGCCTCTGGGCTGCAAAGCCTGGGAATCTGGAGCTCTGCTGTTTGAGACATGAGAGCGGGTGAGTGTGTGTGCTGGTAAGGAACACCTAAAAGATCCGCAAATGAACTGTCACACTTCTAAGCTCCCTGCCTCACCCCTAAAGGGTACACCTCAGAGCATCACAGCATGAGCATAAGGTGCCCCCTCTAAAAGGCCTCTGTCAAAATGCAAAGACAATCATTAGTCCACCTGCTGAAGCCCCAGCATAGGCATCAGAAACTTGAGTTCTAGGCTTAGTTCTGCCACTGGTAGGCTATGTGACCTTACACCAGCCCCTGTCCCTCTCTGGCCCGTTTCTTCAACAGCAAACAAACAGGGCTAGTCTAGATGACCTGTGAGATGCCTTCAAACTGTGGATGGCTACGCAGTAGGGGAAGATGAAGGTAGGTGCCTGGAAGATGCTCAGTTGGGAGGAGGCTCTATGTTTATCAAAGCTGCCTCCCGGCTTAGAGTCAATCCTGGCTCTTTCTCAGCAGGCTTGCTGAGGCATAGGTCCCATGCTCCCGCCCAGGACTGAGACTTTGGATAGTTCCCATGACCCCAATGGGACCACAGAGCATCTGAAAATTGGTGGGGGGTGTGGGGGCGAGTCAAAGTGGGAACTGCAGTCCTCTGGACCACTGAAGTTGGGAGAGCAGGGGTTGCTCAGGGGCACCTCCAGGCTCAAAGATGTTCGGCTTAGGCTGCGGCCAGCCCAGTCCATGGGAAGAAGTACCACCACTTCTCTCTGTCTGCAGCAATAGCCATTCCTACCTCCTGAGAAAGGATGCTCCATTAGGCTGACCCTGGGTGGAGGGGCTGCCCTGCCCAACCTCTGCTTCTGTCCCAGAATCTCTACAATCCCCTCTGTTCTGAACATGACTCCCTTCAAACACCCTCTGCTCCTTGGTTCTCAGGCCAGGCTGGAGTGCCACTTTGCCAGTCGAGAGTGGGTCCTCCACCATCACCCCCTCTTCCAAACCCTCTGAGCACCCCCATCTTCCCCACACAGCTGGCTGGGGAGAGCTCAAGCCCATAACTCCAGTTCAGTCACTCTCCCTGCCGTCTCTGCAGGGACCCTGGTTACAAGGAGTTGAAATTTGCCTAAAGCCCACCTGGCTGGCGTAATGGCACCCAGTGGGCAAATTCAGGCCAGCGGCTCAGAACGCTGGTCATGCATTTCAGGCTCAAACACAGCCCAGGGGGCAGGGCTGAGGACATGTGTATCTCATTACCCTGGCAATGTGGGAAGCAGTAATTAAACCAGCTCCGCTTAGATAGGCAGAGGGACACACATACCAGGATCTGTCAGTGACTTTTCACCCTTGGCAAAAAAAAAAAAAAACCATTCGGAATTGTGGGACAGGGACGCGTCCTTCAGAGGAGCTCCCTGCCCCTGCCAACACACACAGAAACAATGATATCCACTAGCAGCCCCTAGACCCGCGTCGAGGCGCAGAAGGCAAAGCCGGCTTTCATATTTCCAGGATCAGGGTTCTAAGTATCTGTGTGATCACCAGGGAATGCTCAGAGCTGGGACTCGAGTGGTAGGGACTGTCTCAGTAAAGCCACCCACGCTCTCCCCATGCCCTGTGTAAGCCAGTCAGAGACTGGGAGGCAGATGGTGGGGTCAAAGGTCAGCTTGGGTCCCAGAAGACTGTCTTCTACTAAGAGACTGTGGTGGGATTCCGTCTTTTATTGGCCACCATGGCAGCTCTGAGCCAAGGACCCACGACATGCTGCCTAAGCAGTCCCTGGATCAAGCAGGCCCCTCCAGCCCTGGGGTGCAGTGACATCTTTAGCAAAGCAGATGTGGGGAAAGGAGAACAAGAAGGAAGTGCCAAGCAGAGTGACACAGGTGCATACAGCTTGGCTCGTGCACACACACATACAAACACACACATGTGAGTATGTGTTGGTGCCAGGCCCAGGAAACCTGGCCTAGGGGCTGCCCAGCCCCTCACTCACCTCCCTTAGCTCCTTGGCCACCTCCTTGAGCTCTCGCAGGATGTCCTCCAGCTGCCCGATGACCATCTTCATGCGCTGTCGAATCCGCTCCCGCTCACCACCACTGCTGGGGTCGTCACTGGGCTGCCCGAGGTCCGGGGTGCCCCGAATGTTCATCCTTCACCAAGTGGCCGCAGGCCTGCCCATGCTCCCCCCAGCTAAGCACACGCTGCGTCTGCCTCCATGGAGCCCCCCTCAGCAGGGCAGAGCTCCACATCTTAACGGCCCCCCAGCCCACCCTGGCCCTGGGTGGCCCTCACCCAGCCCCAGCCCCCTGCCACCACTCCGCTCCTCTACCTCTGGGTGGAGAATGGGACACCCAGAGGGAGACAGTCTGACAGAGGGGGTCAAGGTGAGGACACAGGAGGGCAGGGGGAGGGGCCTTGGGTCTCAGGAGTGGTTTCCAGGACTTGAAGTGCCTGTGGGTATGCTGAGCTGGACACAGAGGCAGGGGGATGACTCTGCAGGGACTGAGGGTAAGAGGTGCCCTTGGGATGGACAGAAGGCAGCAGTAATCCCCTCACAACTCCTAGGCAATTGCAAAGGCCGAGGTGTCGAGATGCAACAGACACCTGCAGAGGGATAGTGGCCAGGGCCTTCCAGATGTGAAAGGGGCTCCAGATGTGGGTGGCTCTGGGAAGGGAGCCGGATTGGAGGAGGGCAGCCCCCTGCAGAGAGAGCAAGTCTGGCGTCAGCCTTCCCAGGCTGCAGCACCAGCCGGCAATGCAATGCCGCTGCCTCCCTCCTCACCCCAGCCTGCACCCTTCCTCGCTGGGGATTGGAGTTTTTTTGTTTGTTTGTTTGTTTGTTTTTTCCTTTGTGGCGGGGGGGATGGTGGAGGCAGATGCTCTAGAGCACAGTCTCTCCTCTAGAGGGGAAAGAGGGAGCCCTTGCTTTAGAAGCAGAAGTCCTCAGCCTGCCATGGGGCACCCTGCCCTGGCTCCCGCCACCCCCACCCAGGCCTGGCCCCGCTGGTTCACTGGAGGGCCCCTCCAGTCTTCCCGGCTCGCTCCAAGTGCCCCGGGGGTGCTCTCGTTCCCAGCTGGACCTTCCCTTCCCCAGCCCCGCCTTCCGTCAGAAACCCCACTCCGCTCTCGGACTCACCAAGGGTGGGGGCACCGACCTTCCTTCCGAGCAGCGTCGGGGGCCAAGTCCCAAGACGAGGTTGGGGGCCCCCAAGGCTCCCTAGGGCGGGCTTCTCTCTCTGGACCCTTCGGCCCCTGGCCTCAAGGAGGTCCTCAGAGCCGTCACCGGAGACATCTGGGCGGTGGGAGGGGGCGGGGCCTCCACGCTCCAAGGAAGGGGGCAGGAAAAATCTCCGTCAACCCCCGCCGGGCTCCGGTGGGGGGGGAATGAGCAAGGTTCCAGCGGGTCCGGGACTCCGAGGCCACAGGTGACTCGGGCACAGGGCGACCGAGGCGACGGCGGGCCGGTCCCAGCGCGCGAGCCAAAGTCGGAGGGATCGGAGGGCGCCGGGATCCCCTCAGCCCACGCCCGGTATTCCCCGGGCTCGGCACCGTCCGGGATCCGCTCTGTCCAGTCCAGATCGGCCGGCTCCGGGCTCCNCCGCCCCCCGCCGGACTGGCCGCCCGGGCGGGCGCTGGCTCCCTCAAAGGCCGCCCGGCTGGCTCGGCTCCGCTCGCCTCGGCGCTGTAAGGGAAGGGGCCGGCCCGGCGCGCCGGGAGGGAGCTTTTAAAGCGACACACACGCCTCCCAGCGCCGAGCACCGAGCGCGCGAGCCGGGGGGTCTCGCCACCCGGGGGACGAGGAAGCGTCCGGCGCTGACGGGGGTGGAGGCGGACTCTCCCGAGGCACTCCTGTTGACCTCGGAGTGCGGAGGGGCAGCGGGCTAGGGGCTTACTCGGGTCCTACCTTTCCGTAAGCCCCCATTACCCCTGCCCCCACTGCAGTGCGCTCCGGGCTTCCCTTTCGGCTAAATTTCCCGCATCAGACCTTCCTCCTTCCCCCTGTCATACCTCAAACTACTCCCAGACATGGCCTTAAATCAGATTAATTAAGAAAATGGAATACCGACGACATTTGCTGAGCACCTACTGTATGCCAGGCTCTGTCTGGGCTGCATGGGGCTGGAGTTGGAGATTCCGCAGATGGATGAAAGAGATACACTAGACACAGGTCATTTTGTTCAGTTCCTTATCCATTTACTCAACATTTATTCATTACTTTCTCTGTACCAGACCCCACGCTCGACTCTGGGGTCACAGGAACGAAAAGCAGCATTTCAGGAAGCTCACAGCTTGTGGGGACATTCCTGAGTAAACTCACAGGTGGTACACGCAGAGCAAAGGCAAGTTCTAGAAGCAACATAAGGGGGGTGGGAGCAACCCAGGCCAGCGGTTGGCAGGCTGTCCCTGAGGCAACCCCTGAGCTGAATTTCAAAGGAGAAGTAGGAGTTACCCAGGTGACTGTCAGTGAGGAGGAGGTGGGGGTGAGCCTTCCAAGCACAGAGAAGGGTGGGAGCAGAGGCTCAGAAACAGAAGTGAGGGGAGGCGGAGTTTGAACCAACTGTGGCCTTTTAGAGAGATCATTTTGACAGCTCTGTGGAGAGTGGATTAGAGGAAGACCAGATCCTGAGAGACTCAGTCAGAGGCCATGGTTTGAAGCTTGGATTTTATACTGAGGTAGAGGAAAGACTCATTGGAAAAGTCCCTGATGCTGGGAAAGATTGAGGGCAGAAGGAGAAGAAGATGTCAGAGGATGAGATGGCTGGATGGCATCACCAATGCAATGGACATGAACTTGAGCAAACTTCAGGAGATGGTGAGGGACAGGTAGGCCTGGCGTGCTGCAGTCCATGGGGTCGCAAAGAGTCAGATGTGACTGGGCTACTGAACAACAACAAAGTGGGAAGCTGTGGTCTTAGTGAGGAACCTGGTCCTGTTCACCTCTCAGGAGATCCCTCCAGGGCGTCGTGGATGGTGGATCTGAGAGCTAGGCCCCTGACAGGAGACCAGTTAGGAGGCTGAGAGAGGAGGGGGTCTACATGGGAGTAGGGATGGAGAGGAGGCAATGCTTCAAGAAATCATTCAGGAGAATATGGGAGGACTTGGAAGATGAACTTGGAGAGGGAGTGGTGATCAAGGATACCTCTGCTTATAGCTTGAGAGACTAGGTAGATGGTTGTGTACCCACTGAGTTAGGGGAACAGATCTGGAGTGAAAATGAGGAGTCTGATTTGGGATAGGTGGAGACACCCTGAAGACAGTCGAGTATATGGTCTATGCCTGAGCTTGAGAGGGTTTGTTTTTGTTTTTTTACTGCCCCAGGTCTTAGTTGCAGCATGCGGGATCCTTGATCTTCATTGTGGCATGCAGATCTTTAGTTGCAGCATGGGAACTCTTGGTTGTGGCATGTGGAATCTAGTTCCCTGACCAGGGATCGAACCCAAGCCCCCTGCATTGAGAGTGCAGAGTCTTAGCCACTGGACCACCAGGGAAGTCCTGTTTGTTGTTGTTGTTGTTGTTGTTTTGGTGGGGAGGAGGTGGGAGGAAGCAGATTGTCAGGCATTGAGGGCTGAGTGGGTGGTAAGAAATGAGTTAGTAAATATAGGTGACATTATCAAAAATTCAGATGACAAGGGAGTAGAGGTCTTGAACTAGAGGCAGATGAGGGGTCAAGGGAGGTAGGGCTGGGTGGTGGTTTGAGTCTGGCCCACAGGAGGCTTGAATTCCAGGGACAGTGATGTGTGGTGAGTTCTAACAGTTTCACTTGTTCTCCTAGTTTTCTCAGAGGTGTGTTCAGAGGAGCCCTTTGGAGGCACTGGGTCCTCCAGAAGCTGTGGAAGTATGAATCCAGCTGCCTGGGATGGGGTAAATATTCTCCTGGGAAGGTGGGTCTCGAGGGCTCACAAATCACTTTGTTTAAAAATTGTGGTAAAATATACATAACATAAAATGTACCATCTTAATCTTTAAGTGTGCAATTCAGTGGCATTAAGTGCATTCACATTGTTATCCAGTCATCACCACCATCCATCTCCGGAGCTCTCTTCATCTCACAAAACCAACACCAAAATTCTGTACCCAGTAACTAACTCCCCAGCCCCCTCCCCCCAGCCCCTGGCACCTACTGCTATTCTGCTCTTTGTCTCCTTGAGTTTGGCTACTTTAGATACCTCATGTAAGTGAACTTGTACAGCCCCACCAGTCACTTTCCTGAAAGCTATGATGCAAAGGGACAGCCAAAGTGAAAAATGGAATAAGCCTGAGAATTTAAAGTGAGTTTCTTATCTTGGGTCCATGGAACCATCTGCCCACATCCTGGATGGGGGAGGTGTACTTGAACTTGGGTGTGTTAGGAGACAGTGAACTCAGTTTGAAAGGATAGGATGAAACTACGTAATACCTAATTGATGTTGGGTCACATTAATAGCCTGGAGGAGGACATGGCAACCCACTCCAGTATTCTAGGCTGGAGAATCCCACGGACAGAGGAGTCTGGTGGGCTACAGCCCATAGGGTCGCAAAGAGTTGGTTACAACTGAAGCAACTGGGCATGCACGCGCACACATTAGTAGAAGTGTGGTGTTTGGAAAAAGGAAGGTAACATTTCTTGTCCTCTGTGTGGGTTAAACTATGTCTAGGACCCGGATTCACTGGGTGTGTCCACAGGAGGGCAACCAGGATGGAGAATGTGTGTGTGGGGAGCAGGGAAGACTTGTGTGTATGTCCCGTGAAGAAGAGTTAGGCTAGTCAGGGAAGGCTGGAGGAGTCTCAACTCGGGAGCAGGGGTCTCTGGGTGTAAATCTTCAAAGGACTCCCACAAGGAGAGGTGATGCTCAGGCTCACCTTCCCTAGTATTTGGAGACTGACCTATATCCTCTCTTCCCCTCAGCCTCCCTGGCCATCTGCCCAGATATCCCATCCTTCAGATCTCTGCTTAGATCCACCCCCACACCCACCTCCAGACAGCCTTCCCTAGTCCTTCAGTCAATAGGGAGAAGCAGAAGTACTCTTTTGGCCCTTTACCAAATGTTTCCCAGGGTATTCACTTAATGTGCTAGCTGTGTGACCTTTGGAGAGTCACTTAACCTCTCTGAGCAGGGATAAGGAGCCCATAAACATTTTTATTTTTTTTCCTGTTTTGGCTGTCTTACCAAAAGTCGGGGGGAAGGGTCATTTTCTACTGTCTCTTTGACTCAGAAAAATAGAGATGATAATAGTACCTACTTTTCAGGGTCATTGTGAGCACATGGAAGCACTTGGCCCAGTGCCTGGGACCTAGTAGGTACTCCATAGACTGTAGCTGCTATCAGCTCTTATTAATGGCTTTGTGTCCATAAGCCTATTTCCTTGTGAGGCTGTGAACTCCCAGACACTGTCTGCCCTTGTCTTTCACGTGGACCAATGGAGTGGAGTGGAGTTGACAGCTAGTGACTTTTACTTTGGCCTGTTTTCCATCATCCCACTTCAGGCATCCCTTTCCTTTGGGAAATTCCTCCCTGTTGCCACATAGTCCTGGTGAGGTGTCTGTTAAAATGCCCACTATTCCCACCCATCCCTACCCCATTGCCAGCAGGTAGGCATGTGATCCAGACTCCACCAATCACAGAACCCTATTTTTCAGCACCAGTAATTGGTTCAAGGAGTGGGCACATTCCCAAGCAGTGCCAATCAGACTCTTTCCCTGGGATTGATAGGTGGATGCCAGGAGGAGGAAGCGTTCTTTCTCCTGAGGCACAAGGTTGAATGCTATAGTCTCAAGGCTATGAACAAGTCGTTTTTCCCATTAAATATAGGATCCAAGCAATGCAACAGAGGGAAGGGGAATTTAGAGAGCATGCTAGTAGCATTGCTGACGGTTCCAACTTGGGCTCTCATGGCCTTGGTTCTTGCAGTCCTTCTTTTAGACCTGGGAACTACAACAACAATCTCTCCATCTAAAAGAGCCAATATGCTCCTTTATTGTTCCAGCTCATTTTGTTGGGTTCTAGTCTCGTGAAACCAATAGGAACTTGACAAACTCAGGGAATACTAAACAGATAGATGATTGGCTAAATGACTGGATTCCCAGTTGGGATGGGATGTCTAAAGTTCCTGAAGCTAGAGAGTTGGGAGCTGCTGCCCTGTGGCTATGGAAGGGAGGGAGGGTGTTTGGAATGACACAGAATCAGGCAGGCTTGGATTTGTGTCCCAGCTTTGCCATTCACCAGCTATGTGATCTTAAGCAAGTTATTGCCCTCTTTGGATAAGTTCCTTATCTGTGAAGTAGACAAAATGATAGTGACTGCACAGGATTGCCTTGAGGATGGAATGAGAAAAGGAACAGGAATCACCAACCTTAGTGCCCAAAGCGAGGGCAGGGGAGACAGGACCTAGAAAATCAGTAGCTGTTTTTGTTAGCCTGCAATCCATTGTGATGGATTGTGCAAGAAGATTTCCTGAAGTAGGAAATGGCAAT